ATTTACATTTAGATGAAATAACACAAGAAGATTTCGAATCTTATACATGGCAATCATTATTATTTCCTTATTTAGTTGTTCAATTTCTACTTTTAGTTTTTTATATATTTCAAGATATTATTTATAATTATTTCAAATATAAAATATGGATTATAAAAACAATATTATTAAAAATTCATATATTTATAGTAGCAACAATTTATATTCTTCAATGGGAAATGGTATGGACAATATGGGATCAATTTACACCACATGAATGGTATTTTGAATTTACATTATCATTAGCATCATTATTTGCATTAATTGTTTTTATTGGACATTTATCTGATTTAGTTTGTTCACCTTTTCTTTTTAGTTATGATTCAATTGAATATTGTATTCATTTTGGTTGTCCTTTACTTACTCGACAAGTAAGACTATTAGTTTTAGTTTTTTAATTTTATTTATTTATTTATTTATTTAAAGATGAAACCATGGAAAATAAATTTAATTAATTTTATTCTATATGAAATACTTATATCAAATTTATCAATAATAACATGGCGTGGATTTTATCATTTTCTTGATAGTTATTTCTATCCGAACAATTTAACTATGTCAGCTGGACTTTGTATATTAATTGGTTATATTATTTATTTTCCTTTAATGTATTTTCAAACATATTTAGAAGAATTAAATATAAAATATGATTTTTGGACATTTATTTCAATAAATTTTCCTCAATTTTATCGAAATATTCGTCATTTATTAGCATTTTTATCATGTGTATTTGTTTGGCGTGGTTATTGGCTATTATATGATGAATATATATATATATATGATGATTATTATAAAACATATTTAGTATTTTATATAGTATCATTTTTATTTTTAAGTATTATTCAAACAGCATCATCAGTAAATGGTCCATTGAGTAATATGGATGATGAGAATAATTTTTTTCCACTTTACCCACATTGTTATTTATCAATTGTTCAAAGAAAATTTTCTCAACTTAAATTTTTTAAAGAAAAAATTCAAGAAGAAGATACAAAACTTTAATTTTAAATAAATTAAATAGAAATGAAAAAAAAACAAAAAGACAATTCTGTTAAAAAATAAAAATAGTAAAATGATTTATTAATTATGTCAATGTATTATTAACAAGAATATTTTTTTATTTTAATTAAGCATTAATTATTTAACAAAAAAAATAAAAAAGAAAACAAATATTTTTATAAATATTATTTCTTTTTATTTCTTTCTCAATTAATTTTATTTTTATCAATAAAATCTTAATCTTTGATAAATTTAATAATAAAAATAAATTATTTATTTATTGTTATTTTTTTTATTCTTTAATATTAGATTGATTTATTATCTCTGATATTATATTATAAACAATAGATATTATCTCAATAGTTTTATCTATCTATAGAAATTATTTTAAATAATCTTATGAAATTTTATTTTATTTAGATGAATCAATATTTATATTGATTATTAATATAAATATATGTACGTTTATATCGTTGGTATACGTCTATTCGTAGATATGTTATCTTTATTTTATAGATTGTTATAGATTTCACTTCTTTCATTTCTCGAAGAAAATTGAGTAGCGGGAGATTACCAAAAATAAGAATCTTTCTCCTTATCATGTGATATGTTTGTGTAACTATCGTTCCCGTATCTCAATGACTCTATCGGTAGTTCTACAGGTGACACACGTCCCTTACCTGCATAGATAGCTATGCCCTGCATCGATTACGAAAATTTGTGTATTATCAAATATGTCCCTTGATAGGTTATCAAAGGTGTCTATTCATTAGATAGTTATCAACTTTTCTCGCAGATCGATAGACGGACTCAAATTTTTCAGGATAGATTACTAATACATTTAGAAATCCGACAGTGCGATCAGAAAAAATCTTCTAGAGTTTCTTTGATAAAGTCTACAGAACCGAATTGAAAAAGGCGCAAAATATACGGGATCAAAATGCTCGATTTTGCAAAAGTGAAAATACGTATTGTTAGAATTTTAGAGTATTGTTGCCTCTGCAATGTCACATGTTTTTTAAACTAACAAAATGAATTTGAAATACTCTACTGATGTATCAACTTTCATCTTATAGGATCATCTAACATCAAACCTAACAGATGAGTGCTCTACAATCCCTTAGCATATATTATTTTCACTTTTGAAAATCGACAATTTTTATGTTGGTTATGCATTACGAGCTTTTGGATTTGATTTCTAAGACTATTAAAGAAGCTTTCGAAAATATTTCTGATTTCACTGTCCGACTTTAGTGATACTAGAAATTTACCCAAAACGTTCTAGCCCATTTATCAAATGGTGAAAACACGTGCTTATTTTGTAGCGTATGATTCTCTTTCTATCTTCGATAAAATTTACAACGCAATACAAAATGGTCACTTCTATTTATTACTTTTCCAAATATTGAGACAGAGTTACCTTAAACGCATAATTCTCGTCTAGACGTGAGAAGCTTAAGGCAATTTAAAGTTAAGTTATCTAGTTAAATAAATTTTGACGCTGAAAGCTAAATTCAACCGATAAACGTTTTTCAGCTTGTAGAAAAATATTTGTCTTCATATGATAATTCTACTATATTTCATGCGAATCGAGATGCCTTACTACTCCCGAAATTTAGATACACTTTTTTTCGAGCTTCTTCTTTTAAACGGTGTTTCAAGATAGGTTTTATATTCTTTAACGATCTGAGTTAACTGAAAAAATGTTGAAATTTCTTGATCTATGTGCATGTACACGATTCGAAAGACTTCTAAAGTTCTTTTATCAGTGTAAAGTTCAATAATGACTTATTAGTTTTTCGACCAGAAAAGTGAAAACAAAAATGTTTCTGAAACCGTAACTCGATCGAAAAATTGATGTGCATAAAAATAACAATAGTTGATACGAAGAGATCTTGTATCATACCTGGAATTGATTGATCAATTTAAGTTGCATGAAAGAGATTGACAGTTTATTGTTAGTTGAATTAGAAATGTCCGTATCTATAAGATTAGCTATAATGTAGCTCACCTTCGATTATACTTGGTCAACTGAGTATGTGCTTGCAATTTTGATCAGTGATCGAGTTCGAGTGTAGAGTCATATTAGATATCTCAAGTTCTGTACATATGTGCTGCCTAAATTGAAGTCTTATATGCATACCTTAACATAATTGTGACGAGCTTTTTATTGAACTTGTGGTAAATTAAACATATTCTGGAGCTGTGAGAGCCTATTCATATAAAAAAGAAAAAAAACAACAAGGAAAAGAAGGATCGGTGCAAGGCCTTTATAATAGTATTATCGATTTATTCTATTGATAGGCGATAATTGTTTTTCGTACATCATCGAAATATTTTAATGAATTTTAATATGAAAATGAAAAAATAATCTAATCGAAGTTGATTATCAAAATAATATCTCAATAAATTCTTTTATTAAAAAACCAAAAACTGTTAGAGAATTATCTCAGTCAAGGTTCCCGATTGTTTTTGGGAGTGGGGACAAAAAAAAACTTAGCATAAATTCGACTCTTATTGCAAAAAATAATTACTCCACTAAAACTCAAAAGCTCTTCGTTAATAAAAAAAACAAGAATAGTAATCACGACTAATTCGATAGAAAAGCTTTTCAATATAAAATTATTTCGAAGCGAAAAGTAAAAATGTTTTAATAATTAATCTTAATCATTGTATAATATGCATAAATGAATATATGACAATGATGACACGTATCAGCAATAATAGAATTGACTTTACTTGAAAAGCTTAAGAGAAAGCATTTTTGATTAAATTTCATTCCAGTAAATGCAAAATTTTCTCGTATTCCTTCTAATCGGTAAGTCTGATCTCAATTGATAGAAAAAGTGATGAGTTAATATATGTTATTTATAAATAATAATTGATCTATTGAATAGAAAATAATCTGTTGATTATTGAATAATGTTTCTATCATATTTCAAATCTGAGGAAAAAAAAAAAAATTTTTTTTAATAAAAATCAATTCGAATAACTTGTTTAAAACATTTTCTTGTTCAATGATAATTATTATTGAAATATTAATGAATAAGTTTAAAAATAAAATCTGAATAATGATATAAAGATTTAAAAATAAATATATAATATTATTTTAATTCTAAGAATAATTAAGTTAAATTAATTATTCAAATAAAAATAAATAATTTAAATCAATTAACTTAATATAGATTATAAATAAATCTCAATTAAATCTATACAAATTAACTTTAATTAAACAAATACTTATTAATAATTTATCTCGAATAGATTTAATTAATTTAACTTGAATAAATATCGAGATTTGAATAAAACTCTGATTAATCGTCATCAGGGTTGGAACCGGTCCGGCCGGACCGGTTGAAGAAATCAACCGGGCCGGTAAAGACCGAAATTTCACCGGTTGAAATTTTTCAAAAATCTTCTTTGTTAATCCTGTCTTTGACCATAAAAACTAAGGTATGACATGTTTTTTCTGTCAGAATAGGTAAAAAAGTGCTCAAAACATATGTTATATTAATCGTTTTTCCTGAGGTTCTCTTTAAAAAGATTCATTATGATCAGCGTCTTTTACATGCGCCTTAAACTATTTCATATTTGGAGCGATTTTTTCTAAAAATCGGTTTTCAAAAAAAAAAATTCGACATTTTTCCACCGGTTTTCACCGGTTGGACATGTGATTCCAACCGGCCGGTTTCCGGCCGGACCGGACCGGTAGGATTTTTCAACCGGCCGGACCGGACCGTTTTAATATTTCTCAACCGGTTCCACCCCTGATCGTCATTGTTGATAATTAATATTATATTTAAGATAAATATAAAGTGTTTATCTGTTTGTTTTATTTTTGAAAAAAAAACGAAAAAAAAAAAAAAAAAAACAAGGTGCATAAATGATAGATAATGTCATTTGAAGAACAAAAAAAAAAACGTCAATGTTCGAATAATAATAATAATAACTAATATTGAATATTATTCTTGAAGAACTGATTGAATTTTAAGAATTTTTCCTGCAGGTGAAAAAGTATATGTTGTTGCATATTCATGATTATTATAAGAAACAGTTGCTGTTAAGGTTTTTTTCTTATGATCCTCTTCTCCAAAATCAGTTACAACAAAATTAACAGATGGATGAGCTTCATGTTCCATTGAATAATATTCTCGAGCTTCACAAATATTTTGATAAGCAACTTTTGAATTTTCAATTTTTTCAACATTTTCTTCTAATACATTATCAAGATGATGGACATGACGAGCATTAACTATTTTTGTAAATTGTTCAACTGTTTTCTTGTATGAATCAGACATTTTTTAAATAAAATTGTTTGTTTATTATAATAAATGTATTATATCAGTTAAATCTAAAATAAATAAGAATATTATATCGAGAATTTTTCGAAATGGTTAGAATAGAAGAAAAAGCATACTTATTTATAGTTTGTCTCGAATGTACCTCGATTGTTAAACATAAAAGTTTTTTTTGCTTTCTCTTTCTTTTTCTCTCTCTTATTACATAACAATATCCACGTCTTCGTTTTTCATTGGTGAGATTTCTCCGAGTGATGAATCATCACATTTATTATAATAAAACTATTCATTAATGCATATTTCGTTGAACACCTTCAATAATGACTTTTTTTTTTCTTTTTCATAATTATCTATAAAAACAATTTTTAATATTATTCTATTATTGTTAATATTAACTTTTTATTGTTTTGTCAGTATTGAATATAAATATAGAGAATGATAATAAATGTTAGTGTCCTCTATATTCTATTTGTTAAATTGTTATTATAAATAAATAAATAAATAATATTATTCTATGGTTAGTTATTAATAATAAATTGAAATTCTATTAATTATTTAATTTTTATTTATTATTATATAGATGTCAATAGTACTAAGTCTATTTTATATTGATAAAAGAAAATCTCTTTTCTTTTTCTTTTTCTTTTTGTGGCTGAATGAATATTCTCGAAATAGTATGTGATTATGCAATGCGTCGTTAAGGTCAAGAACATAAAATAAGAAAAATCTAGATCAAATATACGTCATCATTTAAAATAACCTTGTCCATAGATTTAGTTTTTTTTGTTCAATAAGATTTCTATTAAATAGAAATTAATTAAATCGCAGTTATGTTTGATAGAAAAAATCTATTTGATTTGATTATTTTGTTCCTTTGTATAGATAATATATAAGATAAATAAATATATTATGATGATAATAAACAAAAAATATCATTAAAATAGTTAATTTATCGAAATTCGAATTCAATTTATTAAATAAATTATTTTATTATAAAACTAATATATATAAAAAACAAAAGAAATTCTTAAATAAATAATCCGATATATTATTGTCAAAATCTCTTTATCTTTATCTTTATTTATTTGACTATTTTAGATATACAATCAGAAAAATGTTCTTTTTTTAAATTGTCTTTATGATTCTTTTTAAAATAAAATCTCGAGAATAAATTCTTTTTAGATGTCGAACAAAAAACAAAAAAAAATGAATCAATATTTAATTATTATTTTTATTAAAATAAAAAAAAAAACTAAAATTAATCTCGATAGAATTCGAAAAGTTTGATAATAGTACCTTTACGAATATGTTTCATTGATTAAATCAATATCAAGATGTTTAAATAACATTTTTTATTTAAAAAACAACGAATTATTTATAGAATATATTTTCCTTTTTATTTTTCTTATTTTAATTGAGAAAAAAAAAGGTCTTATTAACAAACGATAAATAAAAATCTATGAAAATAACCAAATAGCAAGAGACTTTTCTATAAATTTCTTAATAAATACTTTCAAGAATATTAAATTATTGTTTGTTTTTTTTTTGAATCTATTCATTTGTTTGTTAATATATATAGACAAATGAAAATAAACAAGAGATTATTATATGAAGAAGTTTTATTAAGAAATATTTTATTTAAAATATATATTATTCAATAATAACAAGTCAAATTTGTTTTTTAAATTTGAATTAATTCATATCTGATTATTTAACTTTGATTAGTCATTGACTAGAAAAACAACAACAACAACCAAATCTTTATTATTCAATAGGAACAATTTATTTCAGATAAAATATACTTTTTTTGTCAATCAACTATATTTCAACTATCGAATTTGTTTTCTTTTAATACTTTTATTAATCTCTTTAGAATAAAAACTACGAAAATAATTTAGTGACATTAAAAAACAAAAAAACTTGTTCTTAACCTTGTTTATAAATCTAAAGAGAAAATGAATAAAACTCTACTCGATTTGAAAAGTAACATTGATAATTTCATCGGTCGATTAATTTCAATATATTAAAAAACCTTGAAATATTCATATATATAAAACTTGAATTCAGTTTTCAACTTTCAAACCGAAAGGACTATCAAAAATCAATACACACACACACACACACACACACATCATCGGAGTAGATGTGGGTGCCGCGAAAGGACTTTCAAATATGATTCAAAGTTGAAACTTAAAAATTGAAAGTTGAAAGTTGAAATTTCAATTGAATTCAAGTTTCAAGTTTTACACTATTGATTATTAAAAAGATTCGATGATAAATAAAATCTCTTTGTGTTTGTTGGCATTTTTTTATTTTTTCAATGTTTATCGAAGTTATTAAATAAAATACTGTTAGACTATTTTCATAACATATAGATACTTACCTTAGATTATTATTTAGAAAACGAACTTGAACGAATATTGAAAATTCAATAATAGATTAAACATTTTGGTGAAAAGTTACTATGAACTTGTGTATAGACTTTGATCTATATTTGTTGTCTTTTCTGATTGATTCTATTGAAAAATTTCTCTAGAATATTGGAAAGATATCTGTGTGTTTGTTTTATTCGGTGAAGAAGAATTGTGACAAGTCAAATGAGAATAATTAATCAATAAATAGTTAAATCGAGCTAGTCGATCATTAAGAATATTTTCAATTTGAACTTATTCAATAGGGTTTTTTCCACTCGATTCTTTTTGTTTTATTCAAGGGAAAAATAGTCGAATAAGTTCTAAGCTGAAACAAGACTTTATAATCAGTATGTTTTTGTTTATAGAATGAATTCTAATAATAGAATTTGATTTTAAATTATTTTGTAAATTTTTTTCTTGACAATTAATGTTCTATATTAAAGTTTAATTAATAAAAATAAGTTATGTTAACAGAAGATGTATTAACAGCTTGACGTTCAGTTTCAAGTCTTAAATAAGGATCTTTATATGTCATTAATGATTATGCACTTATTATTAAAACAAGATAGCATAAATATTGAGACTGGTGTAAATATTTAACCATGTTTATATAGTGGATGTTATTTAATAAAATAACCAACTATTAAAATAAATATTCCACCAAGAATATTTTCAGTACACATTAATAAATCAGTTGACCATTATGGTCTAATTGTATATGTACATTAAAGTGCACATTAAAATGAAACTGGTAATTATGGTTATAGAATAAAAAACCCATTAATCAAATTGATAGAGATAATCGATTAAATTGATTTGGTCGAAGAATTAATATAAAGAAAATGGCTGATGCACAAACACTAATTAATAAAATTTTTAATATAAGACGATAAGCATCAGTTTTATCCATAATAAAACCTGCTAAAAATGCATTTAAAAGACCAGCAATAATAATAATAGCACCAAATATTCCAGCATCTTCATTTGTATATATACTTGGTTTAATTAATTGTTCAATTAATGTTTTTATTGTATTAAATAAAGCTAAACCAAGAGTAAAACAAAATAAAAGAATTAAATAATGACGATTTTTAATAAGATTAATAAAATCTTGTTTTAAATTAATTGATTGATGATCTTCTTAAGAAGGTGATGGAGGTTCAGAACGAAATAGATTTATTATGAATAATGTTTTTAATGCAGTAAAAGCAGCTTCACTTATTAAAAGAATAAAAAAATATTTTAATGATGAATTATCAGTTATTATTAATGATGGTAAATGAGAACCAATAGCTAAACCTTTAACAAAACAAAAAAGAATTTTCACAATCTTAATTTAATTTATTTTTGAAATTTTACCTAATGGATTAGCCATTGAACAAATAGATGTTGCTATATCACATTGAGAAGGTGGAAACCAACGAGCAGCAAATAATGCTGTAGAATTTTTAAAAAAAAGGTGCTACAATTGCTGGAAATATTTGTCCAATAATTAATGGTAAATAACTATTATTTAATTTAATTAAAGATAATAAACGAATAAATATTCCAAGATTTAAAATAGTTCCAATAATAATTGTTATACGTATTGACAATTTTTGTCGATAACCATATTCATAATATTGTACCAAATGTATAAAGAAATTAAAAAAAACCAATAGCTAATGCATTTACTTCTGCTGTTGTTATATTAAAAAATTTCGATGTTTGGGGTTCAATAGGAGCAAAAGTCATAGCACTTGTTGCATTAGCAAATGTTGTTAATATATAGACAATCAATTGAATCCATCGTATTTTATATACACGATAATGTTTTACTTCTGTTACATCCATATTATTGTTTTATTATTATTAAATGTATTTCATTTAATATGTCTTACACTATCTACTCTTATTCTATTCATTAGATTTTTATTTTATTAAAAAGCTTATCTTTCTTTTTTCGTCTTTTATTTTTCTAACATATTTAAACTAGATTAACTCTTTAATATTTTTTTATAATATTAAAGAGAATAAAAAAACAAAAAGTTCAAATTCAAACTTATTATTTTATTTTATTTTATTTATATTAATCTTGTAACAAAAACAAAATTCTTATAGAAAGATGATTTTTCTTCTCATGTAAAATAATAAACAATTGAATGATAAATATAAAAAAAAGAAAGAAAAAAAAACTTTTGAGAAGATATTTTATAATAGATTATAAAAAATTCCGTTTAATAAAAATCAAACTCTCTTCTGTACGATAACTTGTAAAAATGTTATTATTTAAAAATAACCGAAATACTTATTAATACTTATATATAATAGAATATAGAAATTCATTTTTATTTAATAATAACTAAACTATATTTATATATAGTTAATAAATAGTATTTTATATGTCATTTCTTTTTTGTTTTTTTTTTTATCAATAATTTATTTCTCATATGTTTATTTGATTATCTGACATTATGTTGAGTTATTTTTATATCTCTAAAAAATTGTTCATATTAAAAACCCAAATTGCTTCTGAATCTTTCTATTAAATATTGATCTTCTATATACTTTTTTCATTTGTATTATTATTTTTGTTTATTTTATTGTTTTATTTGTAAAATAAAATATTGAGATTGATTCAATCATTTTTGAAAGATAAAATAAATATTTTTCACTTGACTGAAATATTTTGACGATCATATAAATTTCCTTTATCATCAGCACAAAATCCAGTTCATCCAATAAAATTCTTATAGAGATATTGCATTTCGTTTCGATTAATCACTTTTTAGACACGATGTACATTTAATACATATAAATAAGTTCAAAAAACCAAAATACAGAAATAGATAATGTCATACCAAACTGAATAAATATGATTTATATTAATCCAATAGGAAGAGAAGAATAAATGATGATAATTAAATTAATAATTGAGTTATAGAGAGTATGACAATAAACATTTTTATTTTATCAAAATTTGAGAATTTATTTTTTCAAATCTTTACTGAGCGCACTCACCATCATCGTCAAACACTAACAACAAAATAAAATACAGATAACTATAACATATCAAGTGTAGCAAAATTTTTACAAAAATTCTCTATAGAAAGTATTTACCTTAATTTAAAATAATAAACTGAAAGGTTTTGTGGATAGAATAATGTGCTTATATGAATTCTATCTATATCTCATACCTGTTTTTATTTCACTATTCTGAATTCCTCCTGTTATAAACAGTTTCTTAAAAATCTAATTATTAGCAATACGATTAGCTATTACTGCTCTTTCAAAATAATTTGTTTACGTTCGATTCTGATTTGAAGAAGTTTCAAATTCGGAGTACCTCTTCAAGTTGATCATGTATGGCTAATCCGTTCTCCGTGGTTTGAGACCAATCAAAGACAAGTCCCACACCAGTACACAAAATTCATAACATCACGTATGAATGCCGCGGAACCCGAAAACACACGAAAGCACACAAAGACCCACACAGTTGGCGTAGATTCTACAGAGCGCGACAATATAGAAACGCATACGAAACCCACACATTAGGTATGAGTGCCATGAAGCTCACAACCGCAAGACAACAAGTATGCCTTCGACTTCAGATCAAAATATGCGAAAACTCTGTAAAGTGTAAAATTTGAAGACTTGAATTTTAAATTTCAGTTGAACAAATTATGAACGAATTAAAGATTTCTACACTACTGTACAATTTAATGAATAATCAATCCACTTGTTGATTTTTTTTTCTTTTAGTTAATAAATTCGAAATCCAATTCTCAATAATTTAACATCGAATTGAGTTGAACATTGTCTTGTGAGAGAATAAAATATGAGACATATTAACATCAAAACCGAAGGCTTTCGAGAGATCCAATTTATAATATCGTTGCTTTTTCCATTTGCGATTCCGTCTGGAAACAGAAGATAGAAAAATACGGCACAAACTCGTTCCCTACAAGATATAAAATTTTATTTAAAAACCATCTTTCTGTTTTTTTCTGACATCAATAAAAAGAAAACAAAGCGATTTATACTTAGTTGACCGGTGGCGTGTTGAATCAAATGAGACAATATATTTCACTTGCTCACGTAACAAAAAAAATGTAGATATGTTTACAAAAAATGGTTTTTAGACATTCAAATGAGAGCATTCCAATTCAAGATGCCACTATCAAATGATTTTTTCAGTTAAAGTCAATTGAATATATATCTTTTTCCTACGAGCTTTATTATTTTGGTATTGAGAAAAAAAAATAATCTTAGTAGTTTACAAAAAGAGCAACACTGAAAATGTTCCACAATTTAAAAAAGATCTTCTTTTTCAAGAAAATCTACACCTTACAAGGGTTCGATATTTTCCTTCATCTGAAAAAAGGCTTCATTAACGCTAAGAATCAGTGATTCACGATGAGTAGTTTACACTAACAAAGTACGTGTAAAACAAAAAATAGTTCAATTTGAGATTCGAATTGCTGAAGGCTAGAAGAACACATACACTAGTTTCTCGTTAGCTTTTATATAAGTGCAATAAAGTAGGTAAAATTACAAGCAAATGAGAATTTATGATAATGAATCAATAAAATATGATAAGCAGTTGCAAGATTTGTGAAAAAGAACGAACAATGTACACTAAGCTCTTCCCCCCCCCCCCCCCCCACCGTTTTAGAAGCTCTCTGAGTTTCATATTGCTCTTGTTGCATCTTTAAAAGATAAACAGTATGAAATGTTATCTTTCAGCGTTACCTTAAGAAGAAAATATGCATTACAGTATCATTTTTTTCTCTGTGTTCCTTTCATGAAGGCAGTGATCTACTGAATGATAAAATGGTTTCATGTATGGTCTGTGCATTCATTATAATTTTGAACATGTATCATTATAATATGGTGAAAAAGAAAGACGTTGAATGGCTAGCGCATATAGACAAATGTGTGTCGATCCAATTGGATATGCAGTATTCAGTACACATTTCTTACTTTCGAAGGATCTTTGTATTAGCTAAGTGTGAGACTGTGGGAAAGTTGCTTTTCAATCAAGCTATGATACGATTAACCTGTGTCGAGAAGAATTCTGCTTGACTATAAGTTTGATCCTATTATGCTCCACCCTTCTTTATTGTAGCTTGATGTAGATAGAAAAGAAAGACAGATACGAATTATAGTGTATTTGAAAATGACTCTTTTCACTGGATTTTTCTTTTGTTTTCCTGTACAGAAAAGATTGTCTTTTGGCTTTTCACACAAAACTTGGAAAAACTTGTTCTAAGAATGTTTAAAATTATCGCAACTAATTATGCAAAAACATTGAAAGTATAACTTTATTGTATTTTTGAAAATTTTGAGCGGAAATTCTATTAGAAGCTCCCTACAATAGAAGCCCTCTCCGAAAACTTTGAATGCTTTGACACTTTAGAAGCCCAAGAAGCTTCTAAGATGGGAAGGAGGGAAGCGAGGAGGAGGTTGAGTGATACTGATACTATGTGCAAGTGCAGAAGGCCATAAAAGAAAGAATGTCATTAAGAATGTAACTGTTGTTTTTCTGTTCGATTTATCCGGAACTTGAATAAGTTCCTGTATTTGTATTGAATGTCAGTGTTAATGTCGGAGTGTTTGTCGTCGATGAACCGTATGGTATAGTTACTGAATCAACAGAATATGTTATACTGGAGCCGCTTCCCGAACCTTAATTAGAAAGAAAAACCAAATTAATCAACAATGGATAACAATCATTAGAAAAAAAGTTTTACTCTGAACACCAACTGTGGCCGAAGCACCTCCATCTGCCACTTGATAATACTTATATGTAACGATATTGGGCGAAGCCTCATTGAATACAATTTGGAAGTGAAAATATCGTGTTGACGAGCTGTAATGCGCCATGTAAAATTCAAAGACCATGTTTCGATTAGGATATGTGCCTGTTGCACCATAATAGACACTTTCAGATGTGCCTGAATATATATACAGATCATCCCAAAGACCAAAAGCTGTTGGCCCACTGAAACTACCACTTGGTAGAGCTGTGTTTGTCCAATCACCAGCGCAACCAGCAAGACAGATTATCTAGAAATGTAAAATAATTTCTACTCTCTAAGAAATCGAGTCATCAAAAGTTTAAACGTTTTCAAACTAATATTAATCATCAAACAATTTTATAATTTCTAGAAAATGATCTATTTTCTGTCAAGTGGGAATTTCCATCCGATTTTTTGAAAAATGTATTTTCGAACGCATTTTCGTCAAAAAACAACATTACTTGTCGGAGAATCATTTACACAATGAAAACTATAGAGACACTATTTAGCCATATATCTAAGCCCATGTATGCGAGTTCGACCTGCAGATAGAACGCTATTTTTGTTTAGCTTGACCTACAGACACACGTTAAACTAAAATAGTTCAATTTATTGAATTGCTTAATTCATATTCTTTTCACTTGAAAAGAAATTTAACAGCATTTACAACTTGTCTCTTTTCTTGTCTTTCTTCCATATAATGTTCTGCCTATTGTAACGCACTTTAGAATTAAAGTAAAAAAACTCTCTTTATGAGCATTTCCTTGTGTTAAGCGATCCAGGATACGTCCGAACGAACTTTGCTGAAATTGAACGCTTAGTTCTAGTCTCATGATTAATAAAGAATTGCATTATATGAGCAATGTGCATTGTTTTACTCTCACATGCAGGACGAGAAAAAAAAAATAATATTATCTGTACTTATTATGATAAACAAACAAGCAATATATGTAAGAAGAAGACTGACTAATCATACGTATTAAGAAGAAAAAAAATTCTTAAACAGTAACAACAGTGTGTAACGAAATATATCATCATTTTTCTAAAAGCCAGTAATATTGAATCATGCCAACACGTACTGATTTACTTTTGGTTAAAAAAAATGAATTAATAAACTATTAAAAAGAAGAAAAGATCATCTTATACAGTTGAAAAACTATTGAAAATAAATATATATAATTTGAAAAAAACCATAAACCTCCTAATAATGAGTACCTCCGCAAATTGAGTATTTTTTTTCCAGTCCCGATGGTGCTCACTTAACAGAGGTTTTATTGTATCGGAACTTATTCAATTTAGGATTATGTCGCTTGCTGCTGTTCAATAAATCCTTCGTTCTCTTTATTCAGAAATATCTTTCTATATATATATATGATTAATGCAATGAGTTTTATAGATACGCTGAGAAATGAGTCATGGTTCTTTTTCCATTCTTTTCTTTTTTGAGTTTTTGTTTTACTTTCTGCTGTCTTGCACATGAAGAGTCCTGTGTTAGTACAAGAGTTTCAATCAAAAATTATCTTCCTTTTTTATACATCAGTGGTCAATTGTTATTGCTAAATAGATATCAGCACCTACTTTATGTTCTTTTTTGCGAAGTCACGGTCGTGCTACGTACACTAATTCTATCTGACTTGCGTCTAGCTGTCAGAGATGTCCATCGCGGCTAAAAATCTGCCGCTGCCGCGCCGCGGACTTAGAAAAAAAAAGCTGCCGCACCGCAGCCGCGCCGCGACGGTTTATAAAAAAATGTTGCCGCGCCGCGATGACTTATAAAAAAACGTTGCCGCGCTGCTGCCACGATGACTTATAAAATAAACGTGCCGCCGCCGCGGCGGTTTACAAAAAAGTGTTTCTAATTTCACTGCTGCGACTATATTTGACCAGAGATATTGGTACTAGTCCATCAGATTCATTCAGTCTCGGGGTGTTTCATTTGTAAACCCTGAAATTCTATTAAATTCATGCAGTCTTTCAATGTTCCCCAAAAAAATCCTGCCGCTACCGCGGTGATTTTTTTAAAAAACCTGCCGCCACCGCCATCGCGACAGCGGCAGCGCCGCGATGGACATCTCTGCTAGCTGCTTCACTAATGCTAAAGGTATTCAGCTAATATGAAATAAAGAAGAATTAGTTTGTCGAAGTTGCTACCTTTACTAAAATTTAGTTCTATATTCGCCTTTTTCTTCTTGGGCCTATTTTGATATATGCTCTTGAAATTGAAATCTATCCTGACTGCATATAATCAAAACTTTATACTTCAATAGTTCATCAACACTTACGCACAAAATTAATTTTTTACTGCTCTAATTATGTTAGGCACGAGTGTGGGTGACTGTAATGGAGACGACTGTAGATGCACCGACAACTGTTTCTATCGAGAAAACGTATGTTTAAGCGTGTTTTCACGCTTCTAAAGGTAACATCTTATTTTCATTAAATAGTTGAATATTTATCAAATTTTATATAAGGGGCTCCTAAGTTTTGGGTGTTAAACGCTGATGTATTGGCTTATTATTCGAAGAATACTTCGACAAATTCGTTCAATTCTAGCAACACAAACTTGAATTACACGTCAATTTAGTGTTGTATAACTTATGTTGATTGATAGAACAACTTATTAAGACTCCAAACTATTAGATAATAAATTTTACTGTCGTGCCATTGGAAAAATTGCTTATTAAATGAAAATGTCCTTGTCTGGTATTACAGGTATCACTTATTCCCCACATTTTTGTTCTATACTTTCTTTTATCTTTTCATTGTATATCTTTTCAAATGTTGTTTAGTTATCAAGCTTACACTTTCAGGAACATCAATCAGCTTACAAAGACATGTAGGTCAAAACGAACTAGCCTGTCGGTAGCTCTGGTGAGCACGAGTGCTTCAACTGTGAGTGTTAGTGTGCTTTTGTATCAATATCTTCCCTTCACTTGAATGGCCACACTCACATAAACCTCCAACTGTATTTACACCCATTGATACTCAAGCCTAGACTTGGACTAGTTCATCTTTACTTGTACACTCCACTCCCAGACTCATGCTCCCTTCTTTTATTTATGCTGTAGAATTTAATTCATACAATAAGAAGGGAGCAGAACAGAAAATCAAAATTTCAGCGAATGATTAATTTAACAGAAACAAAGATGAAACAAAATTCGTTTTGCACGTAAATGTCGATGCGTTGGTATTCCGCGCCGACAGCCATGTCGCAAAATAAACACATATATTGCTGAATATATCTCTACCAAGGACAACGTCAACGTCTGAGTCTGATTCAGCCAAGTTTCATTCCAATCCGAATTCAAAATCAAATCGACTTGATGAATATCTGCTGTCCTCATTATCGAGTCAACTACCGAGAAATAGTCATTTTCAATTACAAGGCCAAAGAGGTATGACACTCACTTCCTACCACTTCCAGCACTCAAAAACGATGTGCAAATTCGATTCTTGTTCCTAACATGGTTTCTGACTAATGATACGTCCATCTGTCCCGAGTAACGCATACGGATCAGATTTCATCGTTTCCGTACCCCCCGGAACTCCTTGCTTCCCCTATACAATTTTCTTTCCAAAATACTTACGATTTATACTCTTGTATCTTTCATTCCAGCAAACATCATTGCTGAAATGACTGAACAGTATCCAATGAAAAGTAAGCATTTTAGATTATTTTCGTGATTAAAATGCTTGTTTTGGGGGTATAATCTTTTCCTTGACACATCTTATCATCATTGCTCTCAGTTTTCTGTGATTTCTGTAGATTTTCAGGCAAGGTTCATGCCAATTCCTGTGTGCATATGGTATTGCTGAAGTGACTAAATCATTGTTTCTCTATCGTGACTTTAATGTCTGGAATACTCGTTCGTATTGGCAGATCCTGTCAGTATGAAATTTAGGAATCATTCAGCTTCAGTCGGATACGATGAGTTTCGAGGTAATTTTGATCGAATCTTTGTTTAGTTCTGTTGAGTATCGAGCCGTTACCTTTACTTTCCAATGGGATTCAGTTAGGTTTCTATCGATTTTCGATTATAGGAATAACGCTTAAAAATAATCATTTTTCAGCACAATGCCGTTCTTATCTACAATAATGCTTCCAGATTTCTCGTGTATTTCAGCAGATTCCGGCTGGAATCGGAGGTTAGAATCAATATTCTGGATTATTTAGTTGAGTCTACTTATTAACTACTAAAAAATTCGGTGGTCGCTCACTTCGGCATATGACAGTTCGTCCCTTACTATTCGTCCGAAATTTTTCGTCCTAAATACCTTTTGTCCTGTTCCATTTTGTCCTTGTAGAATTCGTCCTAAAAAAAGTTTGTCCTATTACATTTGGTCATGTTACTATGGCCCAATTTTTTTGTCCTTTTACATCTCGTCCAAATTTACTATTTTCTCATATATTTTATCGTGTAATTTTTTGAAGGTCAATTTTCATAGGAATTGAAAAAATATTATATGTGAATGAATGGCTATCGTTGTATTTAATGAATCATTGTGATTTTCAAAGACGAATAGAGAATAGATAAATGTCCTCTATCTATTCTATATATAAGTCTATATTATTTCTTTGTTATTTGTTCATTTGTACAATTACGTATTACTGTTTGAAAAGAATTCAGGTTATAGTCAAATAATGAATCAAATTGAAGTGTTGACAAGTTCTCGAGGAAATCCGATGTTATGCTATTCGGGTTATTTATACACTCAACATAGTATGACAGAGAAAAAACGTGTATTTCGTTCATACAATGGGCTATTTAATTTCAGTCTGAATTTATCAAATAAAAATAATACT